CCCCGCTCTACCTGAGGCGGACCAGGAAGACTTTGACTCACCGCTCTTATTTGAATAGAAACCACAAGAAAACAAGTGACCTCAGCTCCACGCCCAGAGTATTTCTGTCTCTCGTGCTTATATGACTGAGTTTCATTGGTGTTCGTCTTATCTTTATATCTTCATTTTCTACTGTCTTGAGTGGGCTTTGCCACAGCATGCAGTTGTAAGCAGGAGAGCAAAGTTATTCCTGGAAAAAGATTTTAGGAGAATAATTACGCAAATCACAAATGGGGCAAATCAGGCCGTCAACTCGAGCACCAATGATACATTAGAACGTGACGCACCTCGTCCCTCTTACAACCAACCAAACACATTCTCCTAAACATGCCGCTCTATTGAAGCTGCCAGGTCTTCCTGCCTCTGCCTCCTCGCTATGCTGCCACTGCTGTGTTCACTTGCTACTGCTACGTTCATGTTCCTGCTGCTGTGTTTCATGTTGCTGCTGCTCGCCTGCCCCCCCCACCACCCCAGCTTCCACCCCAGCTTCCACCTGTAGGCTCGGGGGATAGTTATCTAATCATCACTCAATGTTCTTTGTAAATCTTTGGAGTGATGAGGCCCGAGCCTAGACACCAAACTCAAACTATATGACGGTGTCTGACTGAACTTGTTTTGGGAGTTTTTTTTCCAATAATATGTGATTTTTCCTGAGGAACGTCTGGTTTATTGTCTTGAATTTATGAATGTATTTAGAGATTAAAGATAACCGTATACGATAAAAATACTTGGATATTGTCAGAGATTAAAGTCACAATTTTAGGCGAATTAAAGTTATTAACTTATAATGTTTGTAAAAATATTTTTGTATTTAAATCTGTTTTCCTTCAAATTGGGGGTAGGGTAATATTCCACACACTTCAGAATATAAAGTTGAAACCCTTTTATCAAAGTTACAATCTCCCTGACCCTTCACTATACATGTATTTATTTCTACTGCCACTTTATCCATCAAGTCCCTATTTCAGAATTATAGCATTTCAAATGTTGTAAATTGCTAGTTTTCAACGTAACTTGCATTTTTCTTCAGAAAATGGAACTTTTCTAGTATTTCTGGAATAACTGCTGAATACTGAACCTGCCCCCAATTATGTATGGGCTCTACTTCAAAGACTAAGAAGAAAATTGGATTTCTGTAAAGAATGATTAAACGGGCAAAATATCCTCATATTTGAGCCTGATTTGTTTTTTCTTCAGGAAAGTATTCTCGGCATGTGTATGATGGTTTATGGTGGCCTTTCTGAGTTATTAGACACGGTTAGCAGAGAGCCTCTGACATTTACACTCAGAAACCACAAAATCGAATCAATGACCTCCGTGAAAACAGCTAAATGTTATTATATTTATTAAATAGAGTCTCAGTTAGAAAATCTCCCTCAAACTGAGCATGTGATTTGTTCAGGAGCAGATGTTTCAGAGGAATTTAGTTGAATTTGAGGTACTTGCAGGGCCGCCGCTTGAACCGGACCAGAAGGGGGCCCCCATAGAAGGTAGATTAAGAAGGTCCACAGCAAACACCCTTTAATTTACAGCAACGACATGTCGGGAAACCCCCTCAAGGCGGCCCCATGCATAGCGCGCCGTAAAATGCTGCTTCTTATCTTAAGTTTCGTTGCCTTGCTCCGCTCCGGGGGGTGGGGGGGGGCTGTCGGCTGGTTCGAGGGGCCCCCAGTGAATGTTTGCCTAGGGCCCCCACAGACTCTAGAATCGGCACTGGGTACTTGTATTTCAACCAGGAGAAACGGTTTTGATGTTAGAATACATATGTATTGCCAGGAATACACAAATGAATGTAATGGAGTTTTGGCGATTAGGCCCTGTTGTGCAGGAAGTATCATTCGGGAGGGGAGACCCGATCCGATGAAACCCCCCGGGGTCTAGACACTGGTGGTGGTGAATGGATAGTTGGGGTCGGTCTGAAGGGGAGGGGCTTAGCTTAACCCTGGTGGTGGTGAATGGATAGTTGGGGTCGGTCTGAAGGGGAGGGGCTTAGCTTAACCCTGGTGGTGGTGAATGGATAGTCTGGGTCGGTCTTGAAGGTGAGTGGTTGCTTGCCCTGGTGGTGTGATGGCTGTTGGGAGTCGGTTAGCTGAAAGGGAGTGGCTCTAGCTTGACCCTGGTGCTGGTGAATGTGGATTTGCTTGGCGTCGGGTCTGAAGGCGAGGGGCTTGCTTGACCCTTGGTGGTGGTGACATGTGGTTTGCCTGTGCGCGTCGGTCTGAAGGGACGAGGAGGGCTTAGCTTCGCTGATGCCTGTTCGAGTAGGGTGTGGGTGTTATATTGTGGGTCGCTTGGGGTCACCGCCGCCGGGTCGTACCTGGTCTTTATATAGGTGCATCTGGGGTCTCGCGATTTGTCTCCTCTCCACGGTTGCTGTCGGATGTCGTTAGGCGGGCCTGCGCCTCGCGTTGGACGTCGGTCATGAAGGGGAGGAGGCTTACACTTGACCCTTCGGGGTTAG